CAGGAATTTTGAAATATCTATGGCTGTTGTCCATGATGACTGGGATACTGAGTTTATAATCCATTTATAATCCATTTGTCCGAAATGGTATAGGGTTTCCTGCCTGAGCAGGGGGTTGGACTAGATGACCTTCAAGGTCCCTTCCAACTTTACTATTATTATTATATACAGTGCTTTTTTTGTAAAAAAAAAAAAAAAAGGTGCCGGAACTCACACACGTTATACAACCCGCCTTGCCTACCCTACAAGGTTCCATCCAAAAAAGGTGCCGGAACTCCGTTCTGGGCGTTCTATGACAAAAAAAGCCTTGATTACATATAGACTGCAACTCTACTTCCTATAATTTAGGGTGATCTTATGATGTTCCCCTCTAAAAGAATCTGCATATCAAATGGGAGAAGTCTACCCTTTTAAGTATAAGATTAAATTTATCAGAAAGAAGTGAGAGAGAATACAGTGCTTGAAGATTGTTAAGAGCTGCATGGAGGGCAACAGGCTGAAACTGAATCCTGAAAAGATGGAATGGCTCTGAGTTTGGAGTTTTTTCATCTATGGAGAATTGTCTCCTTTTATCTGGATGTAGTAGCACTGCCCCAGGCAGACTGGCTATGTAATATGGGAGTTGTCCTGGACTCATAACTTCTGCTCAAGGAGATGGTAGTACCTTTGCACAAGCTATCTTTTTCCTGTACCAACATCCCTACTCACAGTAACCTACACCCTAGTCACCTCCTATCTTGACTATTGCAATGTGTTTTATATAGGGCTGCCCTTAAGAAGTATCTGTAAGCTTCCATGGTTCAAAATGCAGTGGCCTGCATGGTTTTGTGCAGGCCTAGATGTGCATGTATCACCTTTCCTGTGGGAGCTGCAAGTCCAATTCCAGGTGCTGGTTGTCACCTTCAAAGCCATGCATGGCTTGGAACTAGGTTATTTGAAGGAGCATCTTTTCCCAGTGACATCAGAGTGGGGAGGCAGGGAATGCTATGGATCCACTCTCCTAAGGAGGTCCATTTAGTGGGACCAGAAAGAAGGGCCTTCTCCATGGTGGCTCCCTCCCTGTGAAATATCATCCCCACAGAAGTAAGATTGGTCCCCACTTTGACAATTTTTCACAAAGCCCCGAAGACCTGATATTTCCAACAAGCTTGGGGACCCCAGAATGAGATGGAACCCATCAAATGGTTTGTTTGTTGTTGCCAGGGCAAGGTGGTAGTGGTTATTTTTATATTTTGTTTTTATTGTTGTAAGTCATACAGGCCTACTGAGACTTGGGTAGCCATATAAATGCCCTCTTAAATGAACAGTGCAAAGAAATAGAAGAAAACAATAGAATAAGAAGAACCAGAGATCTCTTCAAGAAAATTGGAGATATGAAGAGAACGTTTCATGTAAAGATGGGCATGATAAAGGACCAAAATGGTAGGGACCTAACAGAGGCAGAAGAGATTAAGAAGAGGTGGCAAAATTACACAGAAGAACTATACAAGAACGAGTTTAGCGTCCCTGATAACCACGATGGGGTGGTCACTGACCTCGAGCCAGACATCCTAGAATGTGAAGTGAAATGGGCCTTAGGAAAGCTGAGCAACAACAAAGCTAGTGGAGATGACAGTATTCCAGCTGAGCTATTCAAAATCTTAAAAGACGATGCAGTAAAAGTGCTTCACTCAATTTGCCAGCAAATTTGGAAAACTCAGCAGTGGCCACAGGATTAGAAAAGGTCAGTTTACATTCCAATTCCAAAGAAAGGCAATGTCAAAGAATATTCAAACTATTGCACCATTGCACTCATTTCATATGCAAGTAAAGTTATGCTTAAAATTCTACAAGCTAGACTCCAGCAGTATGTGGATCGAGAACTTCCAGAAGAACAGGCAGGATTTCAAAGAGGCAGAGGAACTAAAGATCAAATTGCCAACATACGCTGGATCATGGAGAAAGCTAGGGCATTCCAGAAAAACATCTACTTCTGCTTCATTGACTATGCTAAAGCCTTTGATTGTGTGGATCACAACAAATTGTGGCAAGTTCTTAAAGAGATGGGAATACCAGACCATCTTATCTGTCTCTTGAGAAACCTATATGCTGGTCAAGAAGCAACAGTGAGAACTGGACACGGAACCACTGATCGGTTCAAAATTGGGAAAGGAGTCCGGCAAGGCTGTATTCTGTCACCCTGCCTATTTAACTTATACGCAGAACACATCATGAGAAAGGCAGGGCTAGATGAATCAAAAGTTGGAATTAAGATTGCCGGGAGAAATATCAACAACCTAAGATATGCAGATGATACCACTCTAATGGCAGAAAATGAAGAGGAACTAAAGAGCCTCTTGATGCGGGTAAAGAAGGAAAGTGCAAAAGTTGGCTTGAAACTCAACATTAAGAAAACCAAGATCATGGCATCCGGCCCTCTCAATTCCTGGCAAAATAGATGGGGAAGAAATGGAGGTAGTGACAGATTTTATCTTCCTGGTTTGCAAGATCACCACAGATAGGGACTGCATCCAAGAACTTAAAAGACACTTGCTCCTGGGGAGGCAAATCTAGACAGCATACTAAAAAGCAGAGACATCACCCTGCCAACAAAAGTACTGTATAGTCAAGGCCATGGTTTTTCCAGTTGCAATGTATGGCTGTGAAAGTTGGACCATAAGAAAGGCTGAGCGCAAAAGAATTGAGGCCTTTGAACTATGGTGCTGGAGAAGACTCCTGCGAGTCCCCTGGACTGCAAGGCGATCAAACCGGTCAGTCCTAGAGGAGATCAACCCTGACTGCTCTTTAGAAGGCCAGATCCTGAAGTTGAAACATTTAAAATTTAATTAACAGTGTGCTTTCCTTGATTACAAGGAACAAGTCACTGGCATTTCTTTGAATGCTTACATGCAAATGATAACCTGTCTTAGAATTAAACCCAAACAAAGCCAAGAGAGAAAGAAAAAAGAACGTCAGTAACATTCAAATGCATCAGGAAAATAATCAAGAGGGCTGAGAAAATGTTGCCATTTTCAGAGAGCGCATATTTTGTAGCTACTAAGGTAGGATATCTTCTTTGAAAGAAATAACATTCTTTATTTCATTTGGATTGGGAGACGCAAAATCAACAAGGGATTAGCAATGGAACTGTCTCTCTCACATCTTGTCACCGCTTCCTTGATCAATGAAAATACAGGAAAAAAAAATGAAAATTTAAAATACACCCTAAGGTTCCTTTACACAGTGTTTCTCAACCTTGACAATTTTAAGGCATGTGGACTTCAACTCCCAGAATTCCACAGCCAGCATTGCTGGCTGTGGAATTCTGGGAGTTGAAGTCCACATGCCTTAAAATTATCAAGGTTGAGAAACACTGCTTTACAAAATACGGGTTTCTAGATCGCAGAGACTTCTGTGTGCGCGGCCCAGGTGGGAAGAAAATTATGCCTTTTAATGAAAAAAGAACTCGGCATCCATTCTGCAACGCAGTGAAGTCTGTTTTAAATCAATAATGTAAAATACTGCCGTCTTCCCTTTCCTTTTAAAAACACTAATTCGATTTAATATGACTTGAGCGAGGGGACAAAGGTGGAACCTAAGACTGACTTATTTCTAGGTTTCCCCAAGTAGAACCGGCGTTTTCAGGCGTCTAACGTGCCTCCATCACGTGGGAAGATTCTAAGCGGAACCGGAAATAAGGGCTTCCATGGAGTCCCCGGTTTGTTGCGGTTCTAATAGGCGTTTAACGTGCCTCCATCATGTGGGAAGATTCTAAGCGGAACCGGAAGTAAGGGCTTCCATGGAGTCCCCGGTTTGTTGCGGTTATTTTTAGAACACTATTTGGGGGCGGGTCAGGGAGACGGAAGTCTTGGCCATTTCCTTCCATGTCCCGGAAACTGAGGCTTTGTGGTTGTTGCCGGCCCTGGAGAGTAAGGGATAGGCGCGGGGAGCCATGTCGTGAGGCTCGCTGAGCTGCGCTGACGCCGCTCACAGAAGGCCCTGCCGAGCAGGGTGGTCGTGGCTCCGCTTCCTATATGGGCCATATTTTTTCGAGGAAAGGCGCTAAATCGAAGGCGGAGAAAAATCACCTTCGGCCCCCCTCGAGGGGGAAGGCCCCTTCGCCGCCACGGACCCGGACCTGCTTCCTCCGTGGGCCCTGCATGCTGTGTTTCCTGGTCCACAGCGCCAGCCCACCCGCCGCGAAGGAGCAGCCGTCGCCTTCGTTCCTCTGCACGGCTGCGAAGCCCCCCGGCAAGCGCAACGCTCGCCGCCTCCTGCGCTGGCCTCCCGTGCCCGTCTGGGGAGAGCGGGGACGCCGCTGCTGCCGCCGCTTGTTCTTCTCCGGCTTGCTCTTTTCGCCGCCGCCGCCGTCGCCGTCGTCAGCGCGCCGGGGCTTCTTCGGCTCTGCGCTGGAGAACGGCGAAGCTCCCGGGGAGATGGTCTGCAAGCGCAAAGGAATCGGGCTACGCGCCTGCCCGCCCCGGAAACAGCCCCGTTGCGCCGCCCTCAGGGGAAATGCGGCGGGGACCGGCGCCCCTTCGCCGCCCTCGACCGACCCCGCCGAATGCCAGCAGGTGCTCTTGCCCGAGCAGCACCTCTGCCCTCTGCCCCGCGCCGTAGACTGTGTCAGGGAAGGTTCGCCTAAAGACTCGGCCGCCGAGGAGGGGAAGGAGTTAAGCCCGAGTAGCTCTCCCTCGCAGCTGCCGGAGCTCGAGGGGAGAGAGAAGCACGAGACGGGCGAGCCCTACTGCGAGGAGCCCCCCGAAAACCCTGAGGACTGTTGCCAAGAGTCGCAGGCCCCGGTGCCGGATATTAACCAGCTGCCTCCCTCCATACTTCTCAAGGTGGGTTTGGTGTGGTCAATGGACTGTCAAGGGTGGTGGTGTCATAACTAGGATACACAGACTTCCAAGGTATGCCATGGTTATCTCTCTCTCTCTTTTATTTAAAGCTATCATTTAAAGTTTTCTTCCTCCTGATCTTCAAGAACTGCTCTTTGCCGGTTTCTTAGATACCTGTGTTGCATTCTGCTTCGGCTACCTTGCACCTGTTTCTTATTTGGGGTTCAGTCATGTGTTGAAAACAATCGGCAGCAGTGCCTGGAAATCCCATTGCAGGGTTGCAAACATGTGGCTAGATCAGTGTTTGTCAACCTTGACCATTTTAAGGCATGTGGACTTCAACTCCCAGAATTCCACAGCCAGCATTGCTGGCTGTGGAATTCTGGGAGTTGAAGTCCACATGCCTTAAAATGGTCAAGGTTGACAAACACTGGGCTAGATTGCTTTTGCTGCGCTATTTTGCCATAGAGATGGGGATGAAGACTTTAGTTGAGTTCTGTGTCGTTATAATCCATTTAAAGCACTGAGCTACAGGTTTATTGGCAGCAATGCTGACAATAAGGAGTTTTAAGTGAAGCTGAATCCCTGACTTGAGAGGATGATAAATGCTTTTATGAGATGATTTTTGTCTTTTCATAAGGTGATATGAAGTAATTCAGAACTGTTCAGCTTGATGTGGAAAAATTCCTCTTCCTGCTCTATTTATAAACAAAAACATCTTTTAATAAATAAATTTATTCTATATGAATAAGTGATATTTAAAGTGAATTATTTGCTGTAGCTTTGATCATTGCAGCTTTCATTTCTGTTATACTGGAATTGCAGGAAGAAGTAAGTCTGAAATTGGAAGCTGCTCAACTGCTTCTTATATTACGGGGTTTTATTTTGCTTTTTAAAAATTTTACCCTAATAGCTCAGGACTTTAATAGCAGATTCACAGATATCATTTCCAAAACAAGCCTATTTTATGGCATTTATAATATATATTTGAAAGTTTCAGATGATTTTATTTTAGCTCTCTGCTACCTTGACAATGGTCTGAGCAAAATAAAGCAGAATAAAGTGTCATATAAAATGCATAGGTGACATTCAGGAGGATTATATACCAAAATGACACACATCTCTCTCTACATAATAATAATAATAATAATAATAATAATAATAATAATAATAATAATAAAGTTGGAAGCGACCTTGGAGGTCATCAAGTCCAACCCCCTGCTCAGGCAGGAAACCCTATCTCCTTGATTAGTTTCCATCCGTTGCTTCTTGTTCTGCCTTCAGGCGCTTTGGAGAATAGCTTGGCTCCCTCTTCTCTGTGGCAGCCCCTGAGATATTGGAACACTGCTATCATGTCACCCCTTGTCCTTCTCTTCATTAAACTAGACATACCCAATTCCATCAACCTTTCCTTATATGTTTTAACCTCCAGTCCCCTAATAACCTTTTTTTTTTGCTCTTCTCTGTACTCTTTCTAAGAGTCTCAACATCTTTTTTACATCATGGTGACCAAAACTAGATGCAGTATTCCAAGTGTGGCCTTACCAAGGCATTGTAGAGTGGTATTAACACTTCACGTGATCTTGATTCTATCCCTCTGTTAATGCAGTCTAGCACTGTGTTGGCTTTTTTGGCAGCTGCAGCACACTGCTGGCGACCTTTATTATGTGTCTACCCACTGGTGAAGTATAAAAATTTTGATGTTTACAAAACTGCCTTATTTGTTTCTTTATCCTACACTATTGCAGTTAGTTTAATCCTTCTTGAAATAGATGAATAAAAAACCCTTAAGTGACCCTGCAAAGAATTCTGCCTAAACTTGTAATTGCTGTCTATAATGACAGAATTTATGATAATTTATCTACTTAATAGAGCAGAGGTATTACCTTCCAATTTTTTTAAACAGCAACTTGCTATTTACAGTTATTAACCAAATGCACCAGTTATTAAATGTCATATATTCAAGTTAATTCAAGTTAAATGCTTATTACTGTGGGTAACTTGCAGTGAAATAATTAAAACAATATTCCAAGAAGTAGGCTATCAAAGTAATAGTTGCACCTTCTAAATGTTTCTTCACTGACAGTTTATTTTTACTTTTTTAAAAATTTGGATAGTGCTGCATTATCCTTTTACCATGGCAGAAAATAAAGCCTTACATTGGCTTTGCTTGAACTGTACTACAAGTAGTCCTTGACTTACAACAGTTCATTCAGAACTGATTTTCAATAGCTGCCAAAAAAACAAATATAGCTCTAGGCTGCATTAACAGAGGGATAGAATCAAGATCACATGAAGTGTTAACACCACTTTATAATGTCTTGATAAGACCACACTTGGAATATTGTGTCCAGTTTCGGTCACCACGATGTAAAAAAGATGTTGAGTCTGTAGAAAAAGTGCTCAAACGATGCATTATGTAAGTGTTTGTAAATATAAACATTTTCCAGTTAATTTTTGTCCTCTTTTTCAGCATCCTGGCTCTTAACAGAAATGGTGTGGAATCTGTATGTACAAAAATGGGGGAGAAAGCAAATCAAATGCTTGTGAATTTGTCCCAGCATTCTGACAGACAAATCCTACTATAACTTAATATAATTTCTGACTGCTGTACCACTCCATCTCAGATTTTCACGCACTGCAAAGAAATTTCTCATTCCATTTAATAATGTAATTGCTACAGATACAATTTTTATCTATAATCCTTACCCCCCCCCCCTTTTTTTTTTTTACTAAATTTAGTCTAATGGCTTAAAATCAGAAGCTTGCAACTATTATAAAAAATGATGGCCTAATAAACACATTGAATGTGTGCAATTTTTAATTTTTAATGTTTTTTCATAGCCAGCATAGCAACCATTGGAATGGATGTTGAGTATTAATGAGTAGCTGTGAAAGATGTACAGCTAGGATTGAAAAAGATGCTTGCATTGAAGAACTGTTAGGATTCTATCATTGGAATGTCATTAAAAGGAACTCTGACTTTCTCTTTTTATTTTCATAGATATTTTCCAATTTATCTTTGAATGAGCGATGTCTTTCAGCATCATTGGTTTGTAAATACTGGCGTGACCTCTGTTTAGATTTCCAATTTTGGAAACAATTGGATCTCAGTAGTCGTCAGCAGGTATGGAGCAGGCAATATTAAAATATGAATGTCTTTTTCTTCAGATAAGAAGTGATGCTTGAAAGATGAACATATGGAATGTATGCTATGTCAGATCATTGCTTAGGTAGTAAATACTTTTGAGTATCAAATGCAATTTATACTTATGTTCACATGCAAAACTAAGCACAGGTTAATTATGCTATGTGCTATAGTATGTACTTTGAAAAGACTGAGTCACTAGCAGCAAATTTTACAGATGCTCCTCTCCAGGCAACATTCCACCCATTAGGATTTTATATAAGTTCAAAAAGATGTTTATTGTGAATGAAAATGTGAGTGAAGCCATGTGGTCCTGTCACTTCTAAAAGTGAACAAATATGACCCTATTGTTTTCCTTTGCTGACTTTGTAACATTTTCTCAGTGGTTTGGGCACTTGGAAAAGTTAAAAGGTTTTTGCAGATGCCTAACAGTTGCATTCTTCTAGCCTATTCACATTTTCCTGGAGAAAGTTGAGAGTCTCTTACAAGCCATCTTCTGAAACACAAGAACTGGAGGTACAGCTTGCTGGAAAATATTGAAAAGAGACTCTTCATTTTCTAGCAATGTCCATCAGTGCCAGAATCTTTTTAGTGGTTTCCAAAGGCACCCATTTTTTTACAAGTGACTATAGTAAGAAAAATACAGAAGCTTCAGAGAGACAGGAAATGTTTTGCTATTGAGACAAAATATGTGGAGTCCTTGGTACTCTCTGAGCTTGATTATTTGCTTGTAGATGTTTCATTATCTGATTAGGTAATATCAGTGATACTTAATTGAGAGCTCAGAGAACATTGATTGCACAGTTCATCACTGAGTTACATATATTCTCTTCCATTGTATGTAGAATATGTTGCCCCTTTCCTGAAAAGATAGCCGTGTCATGCACATAGTGCAAAAATCGTCAAAGTAATCTTTACAGAGGTCTTTACTGTGGTTGAATGTCACTTCTATTTTGTTGTGTTTCATTTTTTTTATAGCAGTACAGAAGTACAGTGGCTCAATTGGGGATAAAGGAATTGTCCATGATTTCAGCAATACCTGCTTTTATATAAACTTATTGTTTCTAAACTGAGCATCCAAGACATTGGAGAAACAAATGGAGCAATGGAGTCATTGTTGCATGAGCAATTCTGGTTTTATATTTGGATGCAAAAAGGCCTATTTGTTAGGCCAGTATCTCTGTTCAAACCAAAACATGAAGAGCCATGGCATGGTTTTGTATTGTGATTGAGATTTTCTATAGACATAGTGTGCTGAACCACAGTATGGCTTAACATAGATAAGCTAGCTGAATGATGATGTAAATAAAGTATTTTATGTAGCCCAGCTACCTAAAATCTTTTTTTGTGATTTTTCTCTAATGTACCGTATTTTCCGGCCTATAAGACGACTTTCTAAACCCTGAAAATCTTCTCAAAAGTCGGGGGTCGTCTTATACGCCCAGTCATCTTATACGCCTGAAAATACGGGTATTCAGGCAGGCTTCCAGAGTTCGGCTGGCAGGATGCAGGTAACCCCTCCCCCCGTCCTGCCGCCTCCCACCGCGCCGCTCCGCGTCCTGCGCCTCCGTGTCTCAAGCCTCTGTGGCACAGAACTGCTGGCGTTATGCTTGGGCGGAAGACTTTTTCTTTTACAGATGGGGCGGGTGGGCCTGACATTCGCGCGCAGGCAGGACCCCGCCCGCCGAGCCACCACGCCGGACCCCCGCCTGCCATCGCCCTCCACGCCAGCCTGCTCCGTCTCCAGACCTCCCAGCTGACGGGCGCAGGTCCGGGGGTCGCCAGCTGACAGGCGCAGGAGTTCAGCGCTGCAGCAGCCTCCCCTTCGCCCTCCGCACCGGCCAAAGCGTTGCCTGACATTCCAGCGGACGGGCGCAGGTCCGGGGGTCGCCAGCTGATGGGCGCAGGAGGTAGGCGCTGCCGCGGCCTCCCAGCCGCTTGCTTCTTCACCTGGAGCAGTTGCAAGGGCTTGCATGGTCGCCGGCGGTGGGGAGCGCGTCAGCGGCCCTTGGGGACCATGCAAGCCCTTGCAACTGCTCCAGGCGAAGAAGCAA